CGGAACCCTCCTCCATTGCTGTTGGGAATGTAAAATGACACAGCCTGGCTGGACGTGGTGGCTCATGCCTGTAATCTCAGCACTTTGGTAGGCTGAGGTGAGTGGATCACTTGAGATCAGGAGTTCGAGACCAGCCTGGCCAACATGATAAAAACCCCGCCTCTACTTAAAATACAAAAATTAGCCAAGTGTGGTGGTGGGCACCTGTAGTCCCAGCTACTCGGGAGGCTGAGGCAGGAGAATCACTTGAACCTGGGAGGCGGAGGTTGCAGTGAGCCAAGATCATGCCACTGCACTCCAGCCTGGGCAACAGAATGAGATTCCGTCTCAAATAAAATGAAATAGCACAGCCAGCTGGCAAAAATTTAGCAGTTTCTTTAAAACTTTAACATAGACTTACCACACAACTGAACATTCCACTCGTAGGAACCTACTCAAAGCAATTAAAACATACGACCGGGCGCAGTGGCTCACGCCTGTAATCCCAGCACTTTGGGAGGCTGAGGCAGGTGGATCACCTGAGGTCGAAGTTTGAGACCAGCCTAACCAGCATAGTAAAACCCCGTGTATACTAAAAATACAAAAATCAGCTGGGTGTGGTGGTGGGCACCTGTAATCCCAGCTACTCTGGGGGCTGAGGCAGAGAATTGCTTGAACCCAGGAGATGGAGGTTGCAGTGAGCCGAGGTCACACCACTTCACTCCATTCTGGGTGACAGAGCAAGACTCTGTCTCAAAAAACAAACAAACAAAAAAAAAAAACCTACTACACAAAGACTTGTATGTGAATGTTTATAGCAGCATTATTCTTTTTATTTTTATTTTTATTTTTTTATAGAGATGAGGTCTTCCTATGTTGTCCAGGCTGCTCTCTAACTCCCAGGCTCAAGTGATCCTCCCACCTTGCCTCCCAAAATGCTGGGATTACAAGAGTGAGCTAGTGCGCCCTGCCTGCATTATTCTCAACAGACAAAAGGTGGCAAGATCCAAACGTCCATCAAGTGGTGAAAAGATAAACAAAATGTGATATTTCTTTATAGTGTAATACTATTCAGCAATTAAAAGGAACGAACTATTAAGACATGCTACTACATGGATGAATCGCAAAATATTTTAAGTGGCTGGGCATGGTGTGTTACGCCTGTAATCCCAGTACTTTGGGAGATGGGTGGATCAAAAGGTGAGACATTTTAAATCTTGACAGATGTAACAGTAATATATCCTCACCAACATTGATTATAAATATTTTTAACATTTTTCTTTTTGAGATAGGTTATTGCTGTCACTCAGGCTAGGCTGGAGTGCAATGGCGCCATCTAGGCTTACTGCAACCTCCACCCCTCACCCCCACCCCCACCCCCACCCCCAGCTCAAGCCATCCTCCCACCTCAGCCTCCCGAGAAGCTGGGACTACAGGTCGTGCTACCATGCCTGGCTAATTTTTTTTTTTTTTTTTTTTGTAGAGGTGGGGTTTTGCCATGTTGCCCATTCTAGTCTGGAACTCATAGACTCAAGCCATCCGCCCTCCTCAGCCTTCCAGAGCTGGGATTACAGGCATGAGTCACTGCTCCCATTCTTTTTTTTTTTTTTTTTGAGACAGAGTATTGCTCTATCACCCAGGCTGAAGTGCACTGGCGCCATCTGGCTCACTGCAACCTCTGTCTCCTGGGCTCAACCGATCCTCCCACCTCAGTCTTCCGAGTTGCTGGAACTACAGGCACATGCCACAATGCCCAGCTAATTTTTGTATTTTTTGTTGAGACCAGGTCTCCCTATATTGCCCAGGCTGGTCTCAAACTCCTGGGTTCTACCTTGTCTTGGACGACAGAGTGAGACCCTGTCTCACAAAAATTTTCTTTTAAGCCTTTCTGGATTAGATTGAATTTGTAGAAAAAAATGGCACAGTCATCTGTACAGTATTGATCCTATCCAATAATATTTTTCTTATAATTCATCTCTTCTTTAGCAAACGTTTTATTCATACATATCGTGAGTATTCCTGTTAAACGTATACCTGGGTAGTTTACATCTATCACATTTTTTTTTTTTTTTTTTTTTTTTTGAGACGGAGTTTCGCTGTTGTTACCCAGGCTGGAGTGAAATGGCGCCATCTCGGCTCACCGCAACCTCCGCCTTCTGGGTTCAGGCAATTCTCCTGCCTCAGCCTCTCAAGTAGCTGGGACAACAGGCACCACCATGCCCAGCTAATTTTTGTATTTTTAGTAGAGATGGGGTTTCACCTTGCTGACCAGGATGGTCTCGATCTTTTGAGCTCGTGATCCACCCGCCTCGGCCTCCCAAAGTGCTGGGATTATAGGCGTGAGCCACCGCGCCCAGCACATCTATCACGTTTTGATTTGTGTGTGCGCACACACGTGTCTGCGGTGAATAAGGAAACTAATATTAAATAATTTTGCATATTTATCTTGAATTTGTCACCTTATTGAACTCTCCTAGCAGTTTATGTTTTTCCGTTTCTGGGTTGTATTTTCTAGATGGACTATCTTATACTTTGCGAATAACAGTCTCTCCATAAGGTGAACTATCTTACATTCAGTCTCTTCCATTCCCAGCACTAACATCATTTGCTAAGCCCCAGAGAACAATGTTGTGGAGTTGAAGTAGGGGCTGACATTCTTTAGAACTTAATGAGAATAGAGGTGATGAATTCTGATATAATGCACATGATTGCTTCTCACACTCTGAATTGCATCCTAGTTATTTCATCAAGCTCACAACAACCCATTTTTACCCAACTGACATATTTACCCCACCTATCACATTATGGCAAGGATGTTATTTTGCTCCAGTGTCTCATCAACTGAAAATGACTCTGCAAGTTCTTTGCTTAGTACACATTGTTCGCAGTTCCCCTTACATTATCTGAGTGTTGAATCACTTCGAACTGTATCAAACACATTCCCTAGGTACTTTTTCTTTCAACCTATAGTACATCCCTGTATACACAAGAATGCATTATTTTTAATACATTGCTGGGTTTATTAAATTTTAGTATAGACTTTATATCTGTATGTGAGAATGGTCTCTAGCTTTTTTTTTTTTTTTTAAAGTATTCTATCTTCAAGTTTGAGTAGTGGGAATAGAATAACCTTGTCTTTCTTTTTGTTTTTGAGACAGTCTCACTGCAACGCCCAGCCTGGAGTGTAATGGCACAATCTCGGCTAACTGCAATCTTTGCTTCCCAGGTTCAAGCAATTCTCCTGCCTCAGCCTCCCAAGTAGCTGGCATTACAGGCATGCACCACCACGACCGACAAATTTTTTGTATTTTTAGTGGAGACGGGGTTTCACCATATCGGCCAGGCTAGTCTCGAACTCCTGATCTCAAGTGATCCAATCACTTTGGCCTCCCAAAGTGATGGGATTACAGGCATGAGCCACCATGCCTGCCCAACAGAGGCAACTTTTAAGAAATTATTGAGACAGAGTCATGCTCTGTCACCCAGGCTGGAGTACAATGGTGCGATTTTGACTCAATGCAACCTCCGCCTCCCAGGTTCAAGTGATTCTCCTGACTCGGCCTCCCGAGTAGCTGGGACTACAGATGCCTGCCACCTTTTGTAGTTTTAGTAGAGACGGGGTTTCCCCATGTTAACCAGGCTGGTCTCAAACTCCTGACCTCAGGTGATCCACCTGCCTGGGCCTCCCAAAGTGCTGGGATTACAGGCGTGAGCCAACACACCCAGCCCAGCAGAAGTAATTTCTGAATCACCTTTCTCATAGTTATTAATCTTTTAAGGGTATCTGCTTCATTTTAGGTAATTAAAATTTTAAAAATTTTTCTAGAAAAGCACCCATTTCACTGGAAGCATCACCCTATCAAGTTTTTCTACCACTCTGCCACCCAGGCTGGAGTGCCGTGGCAAGATCTAGGCTCACTGCAACCTCTGCCTCCCGGGTTTAAGAGATTCTCCTGCTTCAGGCTCCTGAGTAGCTGGGATTTCAAGTGTGGGCCACCACACACAGCCGAAAATGTTATGTAAAATGAAAGCTGGGCAGAAAAGGCCACATTATATGAGTCCAGAATGCCTATTCTGGAAACTACAGAAGTGTCCAGAATAGGCAAATCCATAAAGTCGATGAGCAGTTGCCAGGGGCTGGGTGTGTCTGAGGTAGCGCTGGGACTAACAGCCTAATGGATGTGGGGTTTCATGTTTCACAATTAGATCATGGTGGTGGCTGCATAACTTTGGGAATATACTAGGAGCCACTGAATCATATCTTTTAAAAGGGTGACTTTATGGTATGTTGACTTTTAGTTAACAAAAGGCCAGGCCAGGAGCAGTGGATCACACATGTAATCCCAGCACTAAGAGGCCAAGGTGGGCGGATCACGAGGTCAGGAGTTGGAGACCAGCCTGACCAATATGTGTGAAACCCTGTCTCTACTAAAAAGACAAAAATTAGCCAGGCATGCTGGCACACATCTGTTATGCCAGCTACTCACAAGGCTGAGGCAGAATATCTTGAACCCAGAAGGTGGCAGTGAGCCAAGATCGTGCCACTGCACTCCAGCCTGGGTGACAGAGCGAGACTGTCTCCAAAAAAAAGGGGGGGGGGAGGTTTGTTCTATGAGTGTAGTTATTTGCATACCCTTATTCGAATAAGTCACATTGCCTCTGCCAAAACAAGCACACACATGCATCCTCTTTGGAAGTTAGATACAAGAAGGAAAAGTGCAGAATGCTTTTTAGGTCAGCTTGAAAGTCACTTGGATGATGTCACAGCTAGTCTGTCTTTATGCCCCTCATTTCTGAGGCTAACTTTACAACTATCATAGAGTTGTATGCAGTATTCTCTTAGAAACAGGGACTCTGGCTATTGTGTTGAGAACAGACTGCAGCAGTGCAAGTGCAGAAGCAGGACAGTCAGAAGGCCAGTCCCAGTGAGAGCCACTGGTGGCTTTGACTAAGCAGGTAGCAGTGGAAGTGATGAGAACTAAACAGATTTTGAAAATATCTTGACAGTAGAGCCTAGAGGATTTACATAAGCCATGTACTTTAATCAGAAACATTACAGGCACATTCTCAAGCAGGTACATCTCTTGCTAAGAATCACTGCCCTGGTTTCAAGTTCTATGAAAACAGGGTCCATTTTCTTCCTATCTGTATATGCCCATTACACTCAGCACAGTGCTTTACAAATTTGCTGCTAATTCATGTGGATGTCTTAAATTAATTACAATAGATTTCTGGTTTCAAATCTGACATGAGATTGTAATAAATTTGTCTATATTTTAAGTCTTATTCCAAAATTTCTGGTAGAAGTTACTTACAAAACACATGGGGACATGTTAGATATAAAATTAACATTTGATGTAGAATTGTTTATTTGTGTTCCTCATGCTACAACACAACCTTCGAAGTCAGCCAAGTATATAACATGAATATGCGTCCTCAAAAGATCAACTTACATAACCCATAGCCACAGGTTCTCAACTTCTACAATGCAACTTCAACACTCAAAAGAGCACAGTATGTTTCAAATCCCATCTCAATGCAAATTTAAAAGAGCAAACTGTATTATCAGACTATCAAAACTGTGAGATTCTGTAATTTAATATCCCTACTCCTCAACTCTCTAAATTTCTCAACACTGAGGAGAGTTGTTAAATGCCTGAATTTTACTCCAAGCCAATTAAATCACAACAATTAAACCAGAATCTCTGTGGGGCATCTTGACTCAGTTACAGCTTTCTAACATCTTTTACTTCTTGGCCTTTTGGAATGTCCAAAAATTAGTAATATTACAACATGTGTTATAATCAAAATATAACAGTTAAGAAAAAACATAAAATGAAGGCCTAGAAAAATCTTTGTTACTCATCTAGAATTATTTGGTACAATAGTATTTTCCAATGGAGGAAGACTATTGGATTTCAGGCATAAACCAACGCCGAAAAAATTTCAAGCCATCACAGGGAAAGAAAGGTAACTTCTGACTCTGGTTTCCTGTGTTTCAGGCCAGGAAGAGCAAGGGAAGAAAAAGATTTGTCCATAGGAACAATTTCTAAAATCTCTAAAGAACAATTTCATTTGAACCCATTAATTTCCTTTTCATGCAAAATTTCAAAGATAAAGCAATATAAAATATGGGGCCAAAAAAAAGGGGAGGTCTTCAAGGAGAATCTGTCTCTTTAAGTTTTCATTGGTACAACAGTTCATCGGCTTGGAGCTATTCAAAGAGGAATCATGAAAATGAAACTATTTCAGACGGTTTCAGTGGTATGTGTGTGTATATATATATATATATATATGTGTGTATATGTGTGTGTGTGTGTGTGTGTGCGCGCGCGCGCGCGCGCTACAGCAAAGGCTGGTTGTAGCAAAAATTCATTTCAAACTGTATGATATGGGCAGGGCAATATGGCTTATGCCTGTAATCCCAGCACTTTGGGAGGCCGAAGTGGGGTGATCACCCTGAGGTCAGAAGAGACCAGCCTGGCCAACATGTCTCTCCTAAAAATACAAAAATTAGCCAGGTGTGGTGGCACATACCTGTAATCTCAGCTACTTCGAAGGCTGAGCTTGAACCCAGAAGGCAGAGGTTGCAGATCAGGCCGCTGCCCTCCATCCTGGGTGGCAAAGCCAGACTCAAAAACAAAACAAAACAAGACATGCAGAACAAAACTGCATGATATATAATTGTGACATTATATGGGAATGCTTCTGTCAAAATATAGATTTAATCCAACATTACGCCAACTTTTATATTAATTTCAGTCCCTAAGTCTTCATAACCAAAAACATGAGAATAATCTTATAACTATCTACTTAGGTAACAAACTGTAAATAAATTCCCCAATATTGCTTTGAAAATAAACTCCTTGGTTGTTAAGAGAAATTCCAACTTCCAACTCCATCCAAATGCATTATTTAACTGGTGTTCGTCAGTCATCATCTACTGTTGGCTTGATTGTCACTCCTCTTCTTATCTGACCCCAACCAATTAAACTGCAAAATGAAAATAAAAGAAATCATAAATCTTACATCCATTTCATTGTCATTACCACACAATTGTATGATACATTTTACCTGCTTATCTTCTAAATTCAAATTTGTTCCGAAAGCCTCCTCCCTCCATGAAGAAAGCCCATACTATATTCTTAGATTACTTTTGTTGTTGTTGTATTTTTTGAGACAGAGTCTCACTCTGTCACCCAATCTGGAATGTGATGGCATGATCTCGGCTCAATGCAACCTTCAGCTCCTGGGTTCAAACGATTCTCCTGCCTCAGCCTCCCAAGTAGCTGGGACTACAGGCATGAACTACCATGCCAGGCTGGTCTCAAACTCCCGGCTTCAAGTGTTCCGCCCACCTTGGCCTCACAAAGTGCTGGGCTTACAGATATGAGCCACCGTGCCCAGCCTGAAAATTGTGGTTAAATCTATTTTAAAATACACTGGAAGTCATATGTTTGTAATAGCAATATATATATAAAACCACACAAGAAAGTAAAATCAAAAGGGCATAAATTACCACAAGCAATTATTTACTTAAGAGACAACAAAAATGTAACTTTCTAAATTACAGGGTAGTAATTCAGATAAATCTGGACAAGTGATGAGACCATTGTGGGTACAGTATCATGAAAGCCTAATAAAGCAAGCAGGGCTGGGTGGGGTGGCTAATGTCTATAATCCCAACACTTCCTGAGGTGGGAGGATGGCTTGAGGCTGGGAGTTTGAGATCATGCAGGGCAACACAGTGAAACTCAGTGCCTCCAAAAAACAAAAAAATTAGCTGGTCATAGTGGTGTAAGTCTGCAGTCCTAGCTACTTAAAACACTGAGGCTGCAGCAAGCTATGATCATGCCACTGAACTCCAGCCTGGTCAACAGAGAGACGCTGTTTCAAAAAAATACAAAATAAATAATTAAAGAAGGAGATAGTGAGCAGGGGTGATCTGAATAATTATGGGGACAGTCAGGGCACGAAACAGTCTAATTTAGAAAGTTTACATAAGACAATGCAGAAGGAAAGGTTAAATGGGTTGAAGCAGATTTCTAGTCCGAAGTATCAGAAAGTAGTGAGAAGCATCTAGAAATTATTGAGCATTGCATGATGAAAATATTTTGATTGAACTCTTAAGTAATAAAAGGCAAACTAGGAGTATTTCGCAATAACTGTGAAGTGTAAAGTGATGGTGGCATGGGCTATAATGAGGTGACAAGGAATGGAAAGCAAGGGGCAAACTCACTAACCTGGGAAAGAGCAAAAAGTCAGGAGCTACAAATGTGTGTGGGCTTCCTGGCTCTATCCTCTCAAAAGACCTAGAAGAGGGCCGGGCGCAGTGGCTCACATCTGTAATCCCAGCACTTTGGGAGGCCAAGGAGGGTGGATCACAAGGTCAAGAGATCAAGACCATCCTGGTCAACATGGTGAAACCCCGCCTCTACTAAAAATACAAAAAATTAGCTGGGCACAGTGGTGCGTGCCTGTAATCCCAGCTACTCGGGAGGCTGAGGCGGGAGAATTGCCTGAACCCAGGAGGCGGAGGTTGCGGTGAGCCTAGATCGCGCCATTGCACTCCAGCCTGGGTAACAAGAGCGGAACTCCATCTCAAAAAAAAAAAAAAAAAAAAAAGACCTAGAAGCAATAGCACCCTAAGAGCAATGGGCATATACGTGAACACTCAGCTCTTCATTTATAAGAGAAATGGCCAGTTCTAAAACTGGAACAGAGAAAGTACAAGATGAGTCTAGAAGATCTTGTGCCAGAAAATAGGAAATGTTCCAAAAAAAGAAGAAGAAAGAGCCTGGGCGTGGCAGCTCATGCAAGGTCAGGGGTTTAAGACCACCCTGGCCAACATGGTAAAACCCTGTCTCTACAGAAAACACAAAAATTAGCCGGGCATGGTGGCATGTGCCTGTAGTCCAGGCTACTTGGGAGGCTGAGGCAGGAGAACTGCTTGAACCCTGGAGGCAGAGGTTTCAGTGAGCCGAGATCGTGTCACTGCACTCCAGCCTGGGCGACAGAGTGAGACTCGGTCTCAAACAATAAAAAAGAAAAAAATGAGTACATGTGAAAGGAACACAAAAGCCAGCCTGAAGGACGTCCACGGGCCAAACTTTGAACAATGCACATCAAAATAAAGGAAGACAGTGATGAATCATGATATGTTGAATAAGACTCTATTAATCCATATTATAACTAGATAGGTAAATAAATAATGGCAAAGAACGAATGCCAAATGATAAATGTGGGGTGGTATAGTTGGGGGAGGATACTGTGACCTGCTGAGGTGCTATGATTTTGTAATTATAGTCAAGTTCGATTCAGGCAAGAATCATCAGTGGATGCTATATCCAGGGGCGTGGGATTCGATGAGCAGCAGGCTATCTGTATCGGCTGAAAAGATCTCCCTACACATTGCTTATTAGTTGCAAGGATAGAGACTAACTACACAGCAGAGAAGCTGGACAACATCTTGACTACATAGTCAAAACTAACCTTAACAAAGAGGAGCAGTCAGATGACATGTGCCTCTGGCTGTGATTCCCGAAAAGGAGACTTCACAGTGTATTTAAGTATTCCAGCCAAGAATATATAACCTGAATCTAATGTTAGGCCTCCGAACCATAAGACAAACCAAAATTGAGGAATATTCTATAAAGTAACTAGCTTGTATTCTTCAGAACTGTTAATGTCAATTAAGACGAAGGCTGAAAAAGTTCCAGATTAAAGATCAAAGAGACATGAAATTAAATGCAATGCATGACTCTAAACAGAAGGAACGTAAACTACGTTATTGGGATAATAAAACTGAAACATGCACCATAGATTTCAGTATTTGACCAATGTTAAATTTCTATGTGGTTATGTAAGAATATCCTTTTTTGGTGAGAAATATACACTGAAGTATTAAGAGATCAAGGAGCATAACATATATAGCCTACCCTTCAAACGGTTCAAAAAAACATATGTAAATAAATGTGTATGTGTGTTTGTCAATCTAGGAAAGGGTTATAGAGGAGTTTTCTGTAAAATTCTTGCAATTTTTCTATTGTGTGAAATGATTTCCAAAGTCAAAGGAAATACCGAACCCAAATCATTGGGTTTTGCATAGGTTTGTGTCTAGGAGGAAGAGAAGCCAATCACAGTATTTGGACTAAAATACGGGACTATAGTGAAGGTTGAAGTATAGTTTTCAAAGTCATCCAAACAAATAGTTAAGACTGAAAGCCCCAATAACTGTTGTCCTCAATGAAGTGTGTGTGTGCTCATGTGTACACCACCAAGAACTTAAGGAAACTGACTGTTTTGTTTTTCTAAAACTTTTCTGTTTTAATGTCTTTTTTTAAGTAGACAGTGACAAAGACTAACAAACTTACCGCCAGTGTTTTTCAACTCTTCGGCTAAGGGCAATTTTTTCTCCTACCTCTGTGCACACTGGATTGGTCAAAACAATTTTACCCAAATCGGCCTTGACAGCACTAACTCTCCCTCCTGTAGACAGGGACCCTATGTTCACCATGAGTACTTCATTTTTAGACAGCTTTTGCACCTAGAAAAATAAATTGGAAAAAAATAAACCCCCAAATCAAGACAATGCTTTCCAAAAATACTAAGAATTTACCAAATACTACTGGAAGTATGTCAATCATAAAATTAAAAAAAAAATTCTATAGAAATTTCATTGTAAAGGAATTTAAACTATAGTCTAAAGATGACAAAAGGAAGGTTTATTTGCCACCCACTGAATTTACATAAGATCCACCTTTTAAAAATAAGGTAGTAACCATAGCAGAGAACCTCTTACAATTCTGAAGAAGTTAAATGGTACAAAATTCCCCAAAGTGGGGAGAGGGGAGGACTCTGGCTATATATGAGTTAATATAAACTAATATTATGGCTATAATAATAATATGGCCATATATATAAGAGTTAATATGGGCCGGGCACAGTGGCTAACGCCTGTAATTCCAGCACTTTAGGAGGTTGAGGCAGGCGGATCGCTTGAGGTCAGGAATTCGAGACCAGCCTGACCAACATGGTAAAACCCCATTTCTACCAAAAATATAAAAAATTCGCCGGGTGTGGTGGTGCGCTCCTGTAATCTTGGCTACTTAGGAGGCTGAGGCAGGAGAACTGCTTGAACCCAGGAGGTGGAGGCTGCAATGAGCCAAGATTGTGCCACTGCTCTCCAGCCTGGGTGACAGAGCAAGACCCCATCTCCAATAAATGAATGAATGAATACTACAGTGAAATTTGCTGGGATAGGGTGTTGCCACATTTAAATGTTGACAAATATCACCAAATTTCTCTCTCAGAAAGTATTACCAGTTTGTACTTTCTCAAAAAGCATGATTGCTTATTTTCCAAAATCTTTGCCAACACTAGGTGTCAGCAATTTCCCATCTCTGTCAACCTAATCTGGGACATTGAGATCGGCCTGGGTAACACAGCAAAACTCCATCTCTACAAAAAGTACAAAATTAGCCAGGCGTGGTGGCCCGTGCCTGTAGTCCCAGCTACTCAGGAGGTTAAGGTAGGAGGATGCCTTGAGCCGGGAGATCGAGGTTACTGTGAGTCGAGATCACACCACTGCACTCCAGCCTGGGCAACAGAACAAGACTCTGTCTCAAAATCAACAACAACAAAATCATATGGATATTAGGAATGTCATTTCTTTGTCATACATGGCAAAAACTTTTCTGTTTTATTGGTTTCTTTCTTACACTGACTGCTATATAGAAGCTCTCAATTTTGGCCAGGCACAGTGGCTCATTGCCCAGCACTTTGGGAGGCCCAGGCGGACGGATCACTTTAGGTAAGGAGTTCGAGACCAGCCTGGCCTACATATAGTGAAAACCCATCTCTACTAAAAAATAAAAAAATTAGCTGGGCGTGGTGGTGGTGTACGCCTGTAGTTCCGGTTTTCCCTTATTTGGGAAACCAAGGCAGGAGAATCACTTGAACCCGGGAGGCAGAGTTTGCTGTGAGCTGAGATCACATCACTGCACTCCAGCCTGGGCAACAGAGTAAGACTCCATCTCTCAAAAAAAAAAAAATTTAAAAAGTAGTTCTCAATTTTGCAGAAGTCAAATTTATTTACCTTTTCTTTTTTCTAAATTTCATGTTAACTATAAAAAAATAAAGCTCAAAACTAGTTTAACACTCCCATTTGTCATGTTTTTAAAAACAGGAATTATAAAAAGCATTTACCTTTGCTGCTTTCTTGTCTCCTTCAGTGCGTACACCTAGAAGTCGTCTAAGCAGGAAATAGGAAATTTCCAATTCTGTGAATATCTCAGGTAAGGCTCCGACTGCACCAAGTACCTGCCCCACCATTCTGTCAGCCCGGCACAAAGTGGGGTCAATTTTTGTTCCAACTCCTAATATAAAAATAAGATGTATATAGCTCAATGTTTTATTTCCTAAAACACCTATAAAGTTAATTAGTTGGCTGGGCACCGTGCCTCACGCCTGTAACCCCAGCACTTTGGGAGGCCAAGGCAGGTAGATTGCCGGAGGTCGGGAGTTCGAGACCAACCTGAGCAACATGGTGAAACCCCGTTTCTACTAAAATACATAAAATTAGTTGGGCGTGGTGGCATGTGCCTGTATTACCAGCTACTCTGGAGGCTAAGGCAGGAGAATCGCTCGAACCTAGGAGGCGGAAGTTGCAGTGAGCCAAGTTCACACCACTGCACTCCAGCCTGGGTGACAGAGTGAGTCTCAAAACAATTTTTAAAAAGTGAACTAGTTACCCCAAAGCCAAATAAGCACAACATGTACCTATATACTTTAATACATACTTTTATTTTCATACTCATATAATAGCTATATAGGCATATGAAAATACCTGTTTTACCGAGACAAATAGATATGTACACTCATGAGATGACTGGGCAAATGAGAATAGAAACATTCTCTTGATTTAAATTCTAAACAAAGGGTTTAGAAACCTGATATTCTAGGAATGATGGCTTGGCTGAGAACTTAATGCAGGAGATGGTACTTGGTCTGCAAAACGATAAAAATAAGTTCTAAACAAAGAATAAATAGAGATAATAACGGAACTCAAAATAGCCTTAACAAAGACTGAAAAAATAGAAAATTCACAATGAGAAGTTTGCAGAATATTTGCATGCCACTTCTCCCCTGGAGGAATGATTGAAAAGACAGCTTAGAGACTACATATGGGCCAGGCCAGGCACAATGGTTCAGGCCTATAATCCCAGCACTTTAGGGGGCCCAGGTGGGCAGATCACCCGAGGTCAGGAGTTTGAGACCAGCCTGGTCAACACAGTGAAACCCAACCTCTACCAAAAATACAAAAAGCAGTTGGGTGTGGTGGCAGGTATCTGTAATCTCTGTTACTTGAGAGGCTGAGGCAGGAGAATCATTTGAACCCAGAAGGCAGAGGTTGCAGTGAGCCGAGATCTCAGCTGGGGCGACAGAGTGAGACTGTCTCAAAAAACAAAACAAAAGTAAACAAAAACAAAAAACCACATATGATTCCTGGGATTCACTTCAAAATACTCCAGCTGTGTCTTTTGGGGAGTGGAGGAAAGAAGACATATAGAGCAAGATTAGGAAAATTTTTTTTTTGAGACAGTCTCTGTCGCCCAGGCTGGAGTACAGTGGTGCAATCTCGGCTCACTGCAACCTCTGCCTCCTGAGTTCAAGCGATTCTCCTACCTTAGCATCCTGAGTAGCTGGGATTACAGGCATGTGCCACCACATCTGACTAATTTTTATATTTTTATTAGAGACAGGGTTTCAACATGTTGGCAAGATCGGTCTTGAACTCCTGACCTCAGGTGACCTGCCCACCTTGGCCTCCCAAAGTCCTGGGAATACAAGTGCAAGCCACCGCGCCCAGTCAAGATTGGTAAATCATTAATAATTGCTGAAGCTGAGTGATGGCTACATGGGGTTATCATTATAGCATTCTCTCCTATGTTTAAAGAGTTCCTTAGGCCAAGTGTGCTGGCTCACACCTGTAATCCCAACACTTTGAGAGGCCAAGGAGGGTAGATCACTTAAAACCAGGAGTTTGAGACCAGCCTGGCCAACATGGAGAAACCCCATCTCTACTAAAAATACAAAAATTAGTTGGCCATAATGGTATGTGTCTGTAGTTCCAGCTACTCTGGAGGCTAAGGTACAAGAATTAACTGAACCCAGGAGGCAGAGGTTGCAGTGAGCTAAGATCACACCACTGCACTCCAGCCTGGGTGACAGAGTGAGACTTTGCCTCAAAAAAAAAACAAAAACAAAAAGAAAAACAAAAAAAAAAAAACAAAATTTAAAAGTTCGTTAAGTTAAATTTTAAAAAAGTTTCCAAATTTCCCTTGATTACCACACACATGCACATAAAGGATAAAATGATAGATGGGACTATAGGCATGCATCACCAAATCCAGCTAATTTTACTATTTTATTGGAGAAATGGCAGCTTACTGTTACCCAGGCTGGTCTCAAGTGATCCACCCAAGTTGGCCTCCCTAAGTACTGGGATTGCAGGTGTGAGCCACCACGCCCAGCCTCTTTTTTTCTTTTGAGACAGGGTCTCTTGTCGCCCAGGCTGGAGAGCAGTGGCACGATCTTGGCTCCCTGCAGCGTCAACCTCCGGCCTCAAGCAATCCTCCCACCTCAGCCTCCTAAGTAGCTGGGACTACAGGCATTTGCCACCACGCCTAGCTGATTTTTGTAGAAACAAGGTTTCACCATGTTGCCCAGGCTGGTCTCAAAGTCCTGAGCTCAAGCGATCCACCCACCTCGGCCTCCCAAAGTGCTGGGATCACAGGTGTGAGCCACTGCACCCGGCCAATCTGGTAAACTGTTTTTCGTGTCTTTTTTAAATTTCCTCTTTACAATTTTTAACCAAAGATACAACTTGTTAGGTGAAGAATAAACTGTTTCTTCAATTAACATTTTCTTCTTTAATCTAAAGGTACAACATCCCCTTTAATTCTCACTGAATCTTTCAGTTTTGGGGGTGTTCAATAATAAACTAAGTTGTAAGGGACTATTGCACAATATACATAAAAGCAACCACGGCCAGGCACAGTTGTTCACACCTGTAATCCTAGCACTTTCTGAGAGTCCGAGGCAGGGGAGGTGCCTGAGCTCAGGAGTTTGAGACCAGCTTGGGCAACACAGTGAAACCCCATCTCTATTAAAATACAAAAAGTTAGCTGGGCGTGGCCACATGTGTCTCTAGTCTCAGATACTTGGGAGGCTGAGGCAGGAGAACTGCTTGAATCCAGGAGGCAGAGGTTGCAGTGAGCTGAGATTGCACCACTGCACTCCAGCATGGGTGACACAGCAAGATCCATCTCCCCCCCACCCCCCAAAAAAGGGGAACTGTTATCTACCACAAAAATTGTGCAAACAAAAACGTTAAGTGTAGGTAAGAATCTTAAATGATAAGTCATCAAACTTATCTGATCAGAATGTATCCTTTGTGTTTAAAAATAATTTTTATTAACTCATAAAGTCATCTTATAACCTAAAGCAAGAGCTTAACCACATGACTGTTCCCCCACCCCACTCTATTATTAAAATAGCCAGTTAAAAAATCTATAATATGCCCCTTTTGGTAATCCACCTCCCACGGTAAGTACCACAAATAGCCACGAATTAGAAGAGATGAGAAGAAAATCTTTACCAATAAGACCGCCTGGAGCAGCATATTGCAGATCATTATGCTCCGCAAAAAGTGATACAATTTTGGAAAAGATTGGTTTACACATGAGTTTTCCTTCGCTATCCTTGGAAACAATACCAGGTCTTACTTCTATCTCCTGGCCCACCTGTAAACATATAATTAGTAATTAAAATTATTGTGTTACAGCAAAATTATCATTTACCTATCAAAAGTTCCATCAGGGGCCGGGTGTGGTGGCTCACGCCTGTCATCCCAGCATTTTGGGAGGCCAAGGGGGGTGGATCACCTGAGGTCAGGAGTTCAAGACCAGTTTGGCCAACATGGTGAAACCCCATCTCTAACGAAAAAAATTAGCTGGGCAAGGTGTCAAGTGCCCATAGTCCCAGCTACTCGGGAGGCTGTGGCAGCAGAATCACCTGAACTAGGAGGCAGAGGTTGCAGTGAGCCGAGATGGTGCCACTGCACTCCAGCCTGGGTGACAGAGAGAGACTGTGTCTCAAAAAAACAACCTAAAGAAAGAAAAGAAAATGCAATGTGTACACACACACACACACACACACACACGAATATTATTCAGCCACAAAAAAAAAACAAAACAAAGAAATTCTGCCATTTGCAGCAACTTATCTAGAACTGGAGGCCATTGTGTTAACTGAAATAAGCCAGGCATAGAAAGACAAATATCACACATTCTCACTCATGTGTATACGCAGGGGTTAAAAAGGTGGATCTCACAAAGGTAAAGAATGGACTGGTGGCTATCAGAGGCCCAGAAGAGTGAGGGGAACAGAGTTTGAAGAGGGAAAAAAAGAATATTAAAAAAGAGAACTCTATCAAATACCAGAAACCATGGAAAAAATTTTTTTTCAATCTGGATCATGAATTTTTTTTTCCTGATTAAGACAAAGGTAAAACAAAGAAGAAAAGCAAAACAAAACAAAATCACAACATTCAAAACCCAGTTTACCTTTAATACTCCTTTTAGGATACTACCACCAGCTACACCCCCCTTAAGGTCATCAACTTCACAGCCAGGTTTGTTGACATCAAAAGATCTAATAACTAAAAGAAAATAAAACAAATTAAAGCCAGCTGTGTTAATTTTAACTTTAGAAGAAATATTATTTGCCATGTTAACTTTTCTAAAATAGTGGCAATATAAGATTTATACCAAGGGGTGACTTTCTAACAAAATCTATTATTACTCCAATGCTTATGCAGCCTCACTTATGATGGGGAAAAATGAAAATAAGTTTATTAACAAGTGGCATATATATCATATACCAGTATTACAGAGTATCATGCAGCTATTAATGTTAGAGCTATAGGTAATGATCTGGAAAAATAACCCTCATATACTATTAAGAATAGTTAGAAAAACTACATGCATAATATAATCCCACTTCCATTAAAAAAAAAAAATTCATGTCTGTATTTGGATTTTTTTTCCCCCTCTATCACAGAGGCTGGAGTGCAGTGGCACAATCATAGCTCACTGCAACCTCAAACTCCTGGGCCCAAGTAATCTTCCTGCTCCAGCCTACCGAGCAGCTGGGACTACAGGTAGACACCAACGTACCCAGCTATAATATTTTAGTTTTTGTAGAGACGGGGTCTTCCTTTGATGCCCAGGATGGTCCCAAAATCCTAGCCTCAAGCAATCCTCCCACCTCAGCCTCAGCATCCCAAAGTGTTGGGATTACAGATGCAAGTCACCATGCCCAGCCTGTGTATATGTTTATACATGATGATATGAAAAAAGAGAAAAGTGTGGGAATAATGGACACCAACTGTTATCTTTGCTTACTTTAGGGCTAAGGGACTAGAACTTGAAGACAGAGAGATTATGAACATTTTCTTTCTTTATTTTTTTTTTGAGATGGAGTTTTGCTGTTGTAACCCAGACTGGAGTGCAATGGCGCGATCTCAGCTCACTGTAACCTCCGCCTCCTGGGTTCAAGCAATTCTCCTGCCTCAGCCTCCCGAGTAGCTGGGACTACAGGCGCGCACCACCATGCCCGGCTAATTTTTGTATTTTTAGTAGAGACGGGGTTTCACCTTGTTGACCAGGATGGTCTCGATCTCTTGACCTCGTGATCCACCCGCCTCGGCCTCCCAAAGTGCTGGGATTATAGGCGTGAGCCACCGTGCCCGGCCGAACATTTTCTTTATATACCTCTATATTATTGACTCCTGTAAGAACAATTCAGCTTTATAACTACAAAACAACACTAGGACTACATGACCTGCACTTAAGTCACTGCAGAGAATATTTCCTACTAAACACCAGGAGCCTGGATGAAGGCCCAGACAAGTTCAAATGTCTGTTTCGAGAAGGCTTCTACATTCTTGGATAGGAACCACAAGCTTAGGTGATCAAATTATACCAGTATCAGTTTTTCTCTAATGGAACAATAAAATCATCTGTATAACGTTTTAGTCAGGAAGTTCTAACGCCCTGACTAAAACCTTATGATTCCATAGATAAGATTCTATATTATTCCATCTTGATCACATACCATGTATTGAGCACAGAAAGGTTAACAGTTGTTTTTGTTTTTTTGAGATGCAGTTTTGCTCTTGTTGACCAGGCTGGCATGCAGTGGTACGATCTTGGCTCACTGCAACCTCCGCCTCTCGAGTTCAAGCAATTCTCCTGCCTCAGCCTCCTGAGTAGCCGGGATTACAGGCACGCGCCACCATGCCCAGCTAATTTTTTGTATTTTTAGTAGAGACAGGGTTTCCCCATGTTGGCCAGGCTGGTCTCGAACTCCTGACTTCAGGTGATCCACCCACCTCAGGCTCTCAGAGTGCTGGGATTATAGGCACCAGGCCGAGGTTAACAGTTTTTATTGTGTTCAGGACTCTGTCCTTCATCCGGTAATCTAATACTGCCAACACAATCTCAGAATTGATTGATTTCAAAAAAAAAAAAAAAACCTGTATGAATTATCACCTATGCAGAAACAGGAAATATTAATAAACAGCCTTAAAGAGGAATCACCAATGTGGGAAAGATCAGATTAAGAGTTAATGGTAAATCCAATCACTTACCAATAAGGCGGGGCTCTGAAGTAAAGTCTCTTGGGGGTACTGGAATTTTCTTTACTATGTACTCACAAACAACTTCAATATTGTATTTCAGCTGAGCCGAAATTGGAATAATGGGAGCTCCCTCTGCTACTGTACCTATATGACAAAATTCAGAAAGGTCAAAGTTCTATAGTTTTATAAAATTTATTCTATGTATGTTATATAAAACAATTAAGATTACTATAATAAAATAGATGCCTAAACCCCATACAAATGTCAGCAACAAGTGCAAAGTGGATATTTCTGTTCAAAAAACTGGCAATATTCTGTTTTTTTTTTACTCCTGAAAATGAATACTATTCCCTTTAAGGGAAATTTGTTAAATTATATTAATAGACATACTTAATATTAGTTCAATGATAAACCTGTTTATATAAAGAAAATACTAACATTCCTATGAAAGAGCACTCTACTAGTTGAAAAGACTTCTAACATGTAATAACTCTCTCAATAAATGTCAAGATAAAATTACAGACTCTGATAATCCAAGACTGCTGGCACGTGTAATTTTAATTTAATTTTTTGTTTTTTGAGACAGGGTCCCGATCTTTCACCCAGGCTGGAGTGCAGTGGCACAATCACGGCTTGTTGCAACCTCCACTTCCCAGGCTCCAGCAATCCTCACCCATCAGCCTCCTATGTAGTAGCTGGAAACACAGGTGTGTGCCCCCAATCCCAGCTAATTTTTTGTAGAGATGGAGTTTTACCATGTGGCCCACGTTGGTCTTGAACCCCTGGACTCAAGCGATCCGCCCGCCTTGGCCTCCCAGAGTGTTGGCATTACAAGTGTTAGCTACCATGCCCAGCCATTTATATTTGCTCCATATTACTTATATGTCAAACAAGCTAGTCAAAGAAATAGACCAAACACAATTAGACTTTAATTAAAATCATGTATTACTTTTCGTGATGACAGAACTGAGTTCACAAGAAATTAACCTTTCTAACAAGAAAAACAAGACTAAGAGAAAATGTCAACAATAAGATATATCATGTCTCTATGCTATTAGAGAAAGGGACATTATAGAGATTAAATCACTGTCACTTCCAAATCTGAAAGTAGCTGTTCAGTAACAAATACTGTAAGCCAAGTTTTTTTAGATTATGTTACTCATTTTACTATTACTGAGATTTTTAAAAAATCTGACTGGTAAAGTTTCCAGAATACAACCCCAGTTCTAACTTGCTGCCAGCAAAAATATACTTTAGTATGTTAAATTCAGAAACATAGATTTTATTAGTTATATCAGGTTGCTAACAAGCAGTAGGTAGAGTGCTAAGGCTTAAGACTCATAAGTTTACCGTGTTTTAGATAATATACATTACAAGTTAATTTAACATCTAGTATCCAGAGTAAATGCCCATCAAAGTGATTCATAGATTTATTACATATTATGGCTTCTTACCTTGGACAAAAGCAAGTATCTGCTCGTATTGTTCTTTAGCCTGACTTTCTTTTACCAAATCAATTTTATTTTGTAGAATCAAAATATGCTTCAGTTTCATGATTTCTATAGCAGCTAGGTGTTCAGATGTCTGAGGCTGAGGGCAAGATTCATTACCAGCTAGTTGATGAAGAATAAAAAAGATCTATTTAAGAATAGCCAGAAATACCCAGAACAAGCAGACAAATCCATAAAGAGAGAAAGCAGAGTACAGGTTACTAGGGGGTGGGGGAGGGAAACATGGGGACTGATGCTTCATGGGCATGGGGTTTTCTTTTGTGGTGATACAAACGTTCTGGAACTAGATAGTGGTGACACTACAACCACTATGTTGTACAAAATTGTGAATGTACTTAATGTCACTAAGTTGTACACTTTAAATACATAAGATAGTACATTTTATGAGTCTCTTTTGCCACCCACACCCCCCCCCACCACCCTAAAAAGCCTGGCATCTAATAAAGGAGACTTCTGAATGTTCTAGCTGTACTCAAGGCAACAGTTCTAGATATTATTGCCAGGCAACCACCTTTTGGCCCCGCTTTACCCTGTTACCTGCATTCACTGGAACCTCCCCACTGTCTGGCTCCCAACCCTGGTCCTAAGCAAGAAGCTTAAAATCAGTAAGTATGGGTTCTCAGGGTCTGCCCTCAGCTTTTGCTCAGGTATAAGGTAAACCCCTCTAGCTCTATCCAGTCTTGGAAATGCTCTGGCCCAGCCAACTTCCTGAGAGGTAGAGAGTAATTAAGAGGAAAAAGCACTTAATACTATCTAAGAATTTTAACTAATATCAGAGGCTCCTCTTCAACCGAGAGGGAAGAATGCTGACTGTTAAGATAACCAACAGCGTATTATAAACAGGCATGTTTGGTTGAGCACTCTAATCCTCAAGTTGTGATGTTCAAGTGTCCTGACTATACTCAAGTGGCATGCTTTAAAAAAAATTTTTTTTTTTTTGACACTGAGTCTCACTCTGTCTCTGTCACCCAGGCTGGAGTGCAGTGGCCTCATCTCTGCTCATGCAACGTCTGCCGCCTGGGTTCCAGCGATTCTCCTGCCTCAGCCTCCTGAGTAGCTGGCGTACCCCACCACACCCAGCTAATTTTTGTATTTTTAGTAGAGGTGGGGTTTTACCATGTTGGCTAGACTGGTCTTAAAACTCTTGGCTCTAGGATTACAGGCATGAGCCACCATGCCCAGTTGCTTTGAGACAGAGTCTCACTCTTGCTGCCCAGGGTGGAGTGCAATGGTGTGATCTTGGCTCATGGCAACCTCCTCTTCCTGGGTTCAAGCGATTCTCCTGCCTCTGCCTCCCGAGTAGCTTGGATTGCAGGCGTGCACCACCGCACCTGGCTAATTTTGTATTTTTAGTAGAGACGGGGTTTCACCATGTTGGTCAGGCTGGTCTGAAACTCGTGACCTTAGGTGATCCGCCCGTCTCGGCCTCCCAAATTTCTGGGATTACAGGCGTGAGCCACTGCGCCTGGTGCTTTTAATGAAATCTCTCAACAGCTTACACAGGAAACAAAGCATATGCTACCCTTGCAAACTCCACTTATTTCTAGACTTCAGCACTTATTATGAATGGTATTTGTATCTTAAATACATCTACAGTAGACAGTTCACACACACACACACACACCCCACAAATAGTTTTACACATACATTTAGAACTAAATAAATCACCTCACATGATTTCAATAAGAAAAATGAACCAATGACTTTTTTTCTTTTTCTCAGATGCTACCACAAGAATTCTCACAAGCCATCAGCCCCAAGTCTATCTTTTTGAGTATTTTGTGATAGCTGGTAGGTAGGAAAGTCATCCTGGATGACATGTTAGCTCCCATTTGTGTCAGCTGTAGGTAATAGATATGGTCCTTAAAGGCCTTAGTTCCCCTTTAAATATTTCATCTCGGATTTGTTCCACATTCTTTTGTCCAGACCAATTGGGAGGTATTTACCTATCAAGAGAAGAGCTGCATCCATCACCGCTGCACCATTCAGCATAGTAGCCATCAAAATATCGTGGCCAGGACAGTCAACAAAGGAAACATGTCTAACAATTAAGAAATAAAAATCAGTTTTAACATGAATTACTACTTAAACATGCTATAGATTTCTTAAAGTTAAATAAACTTAGGAAATAATCTTATCGCTATAAAATTGGTACAGGGCTTGGTGTTTCTAGAACTTAGAAGTTCACCAGCTGAAATTAAAACCACTACAGATTACAAAGCAAATTCAATTAGTTATGTGCAGAATGGAAGATAAAGAAACCCCCAAATCCAATTAAAGTGAATATGGTATAGAATAATGGTACAGAGTATATACTGAGAATCTCATTGATTGGAAAGCTAAAACTTATAATGACTTACAAAAACCATGTTAAATCTGAAAAAACAATTTTCTGTCTGGGCGAGGTGGCTCACACCTGTAATCCCAGCACTTTGGGAGGCGGAGGCAGGTGGATCGCCTGGGGTCAGGAGTTTGAGACCAGCCTGACCAACATGGTGAAACTCCATCTCTATTAAAAATACAAAATCAGCCGTGTGTAGTGGCACATGCCTGTAATCCCAGCTACTCAGGAGGCTGAGGCAGGAGAATCTCTTGAACCCAGGAGGTGGAGGTTGCAGGGGGCTGAGATCATGCCACTGCACTCCAGCCTGGGCAACAACAGTAAAATTCTATCTCAAAGAAAATTTTTTTTCCAAAAATAGCTCTGGCACCTCAAAAAACTAGACTTGCCCATTTGAAGTGGAGATGGCAGCACTTGTTTAAAGCACAACTATGGTATTCAATTTAGAGCCACAATTTTTTTTTAATGGGGTTAGCCCTTAGGCCAAATCTGGCCCACCACCACACCTATTTACACACATATTGTCTACATCTGCTTCTGTAATAGAAGAACAGAAGTGACAGAAACTCTATGGCCTGCAAATCTGAAAACATTTACTATCTGGCCCTTCATGGAAAAAGTTTGCTGATCCACTATTAAGGGCCAGGACTACAGTGAGGCAAAACGCAAAATTTAAGAGAACGCCAAAAAACTTAGTCTTCAAGGTAAATGGCCAGGCACAGAGGCTCATGCCTGTAATCCCAACATTTTGGGAGGCTAAGGCAGGTGGATCACTTGAGGCCAGGAGTTCAAGACCAGCCTGGCCAATATGGTGAAAGCCTGCCTCTACTAAAAATATAAAATCTAGGCCGGGCACGATGCTCACACCTGTAATCTCTGCACTTTGGGAGGCCGAGGCAGGCAGATCACGAGGTCAGGAGATCGAGACCATCCCGCCCAACATGGTAAAAACTCCCTCTCTACTAAAAAATACAAAAATTAGCTGGGCATGGTGGTGTGTGCCTGTAATCACAGCCACTCAGGAGGCTGAGGCAGGAGAACTGCTTGAACCAGGGAGTCAGAGGTTGCAGTGAGCCGAGATCACGCCACTGCACTCCAACCTGGGTGACAGAGCAAGACTGTCTCAAAAACCAACCAACAAACAAAAGATAAACATATATATTCAATATTTTTAAAAAGTCAAAATTAATGCAAAAATCAGTCATGAACAAAATACAATGCCATGATGAGCCATAAAGTGATACTGAAGCAAGAGGGGAAAAAATTCATTAATACCGAGTCTGCCCTTATTTATATATTTGATATTCTGTTTATCACATTTTTTTGCACTAATTTCAAAAGAGATATTGTATTAGCCCATCTCTACTAAAATATAAAATATTAGCTGGGCATGGCAGTGTGTGCCTGTAATCCCAGCTACTCAAGAGGCTGAGACAGGAGAATGACTTGAACCAGAGGCAGAGGTTGGATGAGCCAAGATCGCGCCACTGCACTCCAGCCTGGGTAACAGAGCAAGACTCCACCTCAAAATAAACAAACAAATAAATAAATAAATAATTTATTCCAATCACTGAGTTTTTTGGCATACCTGCCACCCCCAAGCCCAGTTAAATTTTGGGTGAAAGGCCTCACTTGTCTCTCCCTGATCCCAGCCCTGCTCCTGATCCAAAAATTCCCTGTAGAGCATCTTCAGTCCCCAGAAACATTACTATAGTCAGATGTCAGTATCCTCTGATAAAAAACCAGGTATGCAACCATATTCAGAAAATAGATGGGGAATTAGAAATGGCTCTGTTCCTCTCCTATTTAATATACAAAAACAGCACTGAGTTTTTTTACTCAGGAAGCCTAGAAAAAGAATCCCTTCAATCCAATGAGTTGTTTCTCCATTTTGTTTATATGATACTTTTAGTTTGGAGAAACTGCATATAAGTATTTTAACTTAGATTTACATGCTTGACTTTTCAGATTTGCCATAAAAACATAAAACAACGGGAAAACAAAACCATTGAGCAATTAAGTTCATTGTTTAATACCTCAATAATTCAAAAAGCACAAAACAGAAGACAATAAAACACAGTGAAGTGTTTTTAGCAAAAATGAAGTCACCTGACTAATTTGAAGTTCCCTTTGGTCCCTGGAATATCTGTAGGAAACTCATCAGGTGTACTGCTCCCACAAGATCTATAACATTCTGGCCGAGGGCAACTTGGGTCATCAAGTTTATAAATCTAAAATTTCAATAAAAAAGATTTTGATTTGTTATCTGCACAATTAAATACTTCCTTGTTCCACAGTACCCAGCTCACCTTAGCATTAGCATATCCAAGCTTGATTGTAATATTTCTTTCTAGTTCATTTTTGAACCTGACCGTGTGAACTCCAGAAATAGCTTTGACAACTGTGGATTTCCCATGAGCTACGTGACCAATTGTACCTACAGACAAAGTACAAAAAAATTAATTCCTGTGTATTTAATTACACACCAAATATTTTTTCAAATACTGTTAAGAGTAGAAAACCCACAGCTGGCCAGGCACAGTGGCTCACACCTGTAATCCCAGCACTCTGGGAGGCTGAGGTGGGGAGATCACAAGGTCAAGAGATCGAGACCATCCTGGCCAACATGGTAAAACCCCGTTTCTACTAAAAATACAAAAATTAGCTGGGCATGGTGGCGCGTGCCTGTAGTCCCAGCTACTCAGGAGGCTGAGACAAGAGAATTGCTTGAACCCGGGAGGCAGAGGTTACAGTGAGCAGAGATCACACCACTGCACTCCAGCCTGGCGACAGAGCAAGACTCCATCTCAAAAAGAAAAAAAAAAACCAAAGCCATAACTCACTGTAAATATCAACACAGAACCAACAGTGACTTCAATTTTTCCTTTTCCATATATCCACAGTTCTCATACAGGACTGAAGAGAACCTTCCATGTAACTAACAACTTTGTTTTAAAAACATAGTCTGGACCAGACAGGATCTCCTGCTGCTGCCCAGGCTGGAGTGCAATGGCCTGATCACAGCTCACTGCAACCTCAACCACCTGGGCTCAAGTGATCCTCTCACCTCAGCCTCCTTAGTCGTGGGGAAACAGTCATGCATCTCCATGCACGGCCAATTTTTTGCACTTTTTGTAGAGATAGCTATGTTACCCAGGCTGGTCTCCTGGGCTCAAGCGATCCACCTGCCTTGGCCTCCCAAAGTGCTGGGATTACAGGCATAAGCCACTGCACCAGACCAGAATTCTATATATTAAGGAATCTTCCAGCATTTCCAGATTAAACAGGTATGAGGGGCCCTGACACAACAAAAAGGGATTTGTGAACCAATAAGGAAACCCAAGTTTAACAACTGCAATGGTGTAACTTTTTAAAAGTCTCATGGTGGAGTCTTACTTTTTAACTGTGCTGTTTGTATAAACTCAAAATGTCCAAAATTTACACTCAATCAACATAACGTCTCCTCTAAAGTTCTAGGTGTCAATTAAGAAAAAAAAAAAAATCGACCTAATCACAGCTTGTACATCAAATAAAACTTGCATAAATTCTGCCCTTTAAATAATCCTGTGTGGCAGGTATAGCCACATTTTCACCTCTTCCTTAAACTTCTGATACATATGACTACATACTGCCTTATGCTATTAAACTTCTATGTCTTCGTTTTTTATTCTTACCAAGTCTGTAAGCTAGACATGGGCAGCATTCTTTGGGATTGCCCCCACCCTGCAAAAAATCTAGCAGGTGCTTTATTCACAGGGACTTAATATCTATTTCTTGAATATCTGAATCCTCATATTCAGGTAATCACACAAAAAGTGGGGATAAAATTCATTGCTGGAGATCAAGCAAATCAGGTCTCTTAAGTTACTCTTACCTATATTAATTGTGGCTTGTCTGCTGATAACTTCGTGTGAAAGTGGCGTCAACTTGGTAACATCCTGCAATGAAATATTTTAAAACACTGCACATAAAACAAATCAGAACTTTTCCTTTGACTTTACATTTGCAATCTACTTCTCACCACCATCTGCATAGTTTTCTTCTACTTCTAAAGCGCCTTTCACGGATCAGTAACCTTATACTCCTATGGCTGGAAAGCCGTAAGAGCCCTGCATCATTACAAAACAGATTACACTTTCACCTCCGTATAACTATGGGATATCTAGAGGTCAGAGACCTCCCAATCTTGGGAACATAAGCACTAAAAGTAATGCAGACAAGACACCCCTTTCCCAGACGTTCAGAAGCTGAAACCATGACAATCAACATCAAGACTTTCCAGCCGAATCCTCCAGAAGTTCGAAATCCCAAGACCTTACATCCCTGCACCCTGACCGTGGACTGACCTGGGTACAGGCGACGCAAGCATGGCTTAGGGCTCCCGGTTACAGGTCTCCCTCCAGACCCATGCTCCCGACAACCCGACACTAATCCCAATGCCACCCGGGAGGATCGGTCAACTCCGCTCCCGAATTCACTCTGCATCCTCTCCAAGCGAAACCTCACCAAGGTGGTCAGATCCTGGCGCGAAAGATGCGGCTGCCCCAAAGTCACTCCTGCTTCTCCTCCCGCCATCTTGCCAAAAGAGGAAGGAGGTCGCCCCGGCTGCCGCCTGATCGGCTGCAGGGGTCCTAGTGCGGGGCGAGGAAGCCGGGACGGGAGGGCCGACTGGGGGCTCGGGGTGGCCAGTGCAACAGCGGCCTCAATGCTTGGACGTCTCTCTGCTTGAATCTGCACAGTGCCTGTCGGTAGGCTTACTGGAAAACATGGTGCAAAGTTGCAGGAGCTATTAGTTGCGGCCCTGGTAGATATTTGTGCAGGCAATACTGAGGGCAGCCATCACACCCCACCCCCTCCCCAGGGCGAGGCGGGTGTTGCAACCCGGCGCGCGCGCCGGCCAGAGTGAGACTATTTCCGTTTCCTGTGGAGTTTCCCGAAACCTGGGAATCGGCTATGGCGTGAGAACAGAAAAGAGGGAGTGTCCTCCCCGCCCCCCTCCTTTTTTTTGAATACAGATGTCTGTAATTTAGGCGAGATCGACTTGGGGGTCGGCGCCCACCAATGACGGGGCTCTTGGCTGGAAGAAGACCGCGTGCTGAGCCCCGGCGGCTGGCGGGGTGGGCGCCACCGCGCGGGAGTTTGGTGAAGGGCTCAGAGGGGCAAGGCTAACAAAATCAAAAAGTTCCTAGCTTGTTCCCAGAGAGCAGTTTCTAGGGCCTGGGAGGTGGGCCTTGGTGACGTTTGACTACGTTCCGAGTGAAATTAGCTAGGTGTCGTCACAGTGCCCGAAGTTCGCTGTGTTTTTTTTTTCTTAAAGAAGCAGATCCAAGAAAACCTCGATTACCGATAAATAGGTATTTTAAAATTTAAAGATTTTTGAGACATTCTTAACCCACTTTTCGTCGTGTTAAAAAGCAGTGGAGTTTTTTTTTTTGTTTTTCTTCATTTCTATACAAATTTTATCATTAAGAGCTATTTCCTCTTTTTGTTTGCAATAAATTTATAAAAACGTATTAGACAACTATTATGCAAAAGTATAGTAAGAAGTGAAAAGATAATATGAAAGCCACAATGACGAATACTGAGAAGCCGAGCTCACTTTAGAATACTTATAAGTAGTCATCAAGGTAGATTAGGAAATAAATATTATAAATGAAAAAATGAGGGAAATTAGGGAAAATGAGGGACAACATAAGTGAAGAAAGGAATTAACTAAGGTGATAACTTCTCTGCTACCTCTTTTTTTTCTGACTTTTAAGTTCAGGGCGCATGCGCAGGATGTGCAGGTTTGTTAACGTAGGTGAACTGTGTGCCATGGCGGTTTGCTGCACAGATCATCCCATCACCTAGGTATTAAGCCCAGCATCCATTAGCTAACTCTTCCTGATGATCTCCCTCCTCCTACCCCCAACCCTTGGACAGGCCCCAGTATGTGTTGTTGCCCTACATGTGTCCATGTGTTCTCACCGTTCAGCTCCCACTTATAAGTGAGAATATTTGGTTTTCTGTTCCTGCGTTAGTTTGCTGAAGATAATGGCTTTCAGCTCCATCCATGTCCCTGCAGGGGGTATGATCTTGTTCCTTTTTATGATTGCATAGTATTCCACAGTGCATATGCACAGTATTTTCTTTATCTAGTCTATGATTGATGGGCATTTGGGTTGATTCCATGTCCTTGCTATTGTGAATCGTGCTGCAGTGAACATATGCATGCATGTATCTTTATAATAGAATGATTTATATGTTGGGGGGTACATACCCAGTAATGAGATTGCTTGGTCAAATGGTATTTCTGCCTCTAGGACTTTGAGGAATTGCCACACTGTGTTCCACAATGGTCGAACTAATTTACACTCCCCCAGGAATAGTGTAAGAGCATTGCTTTTTCTCCACAACCTCGCCAGCTTCTGTTGTTTTTCGATTTTTTAATAATCGCCATTTTGGCTGATGTGAAATGGTATCTCATTGTGGTTTTGATTTGCATTTCTCAAATGGTCAGTGGCGTTGAGCTTTTTTCCGTGTTTTTTGGCCGAATGTATGTCTTCCTTTGAGAACTATCTGTTCGTGTCCTTTGGCCACTTTTTAATAGGGTTGTTTTTTATAAACAGCTATTTCAAAGCAGAAAAAAAATGTAAGGAGAGGTGAGTAAATACGAATTTAGGTTTTCTGGGCTGAGTACGGTGGCTCATGACTGTAATCCCAGCACCTTGGGAGACCGAGGTGGGCTGATCATTTTAGGTCAGGAGTTCGAGACCAGCCTGGACAACATGGCGAAACCTCATCTCTACTAAAAAATGCAAACATTACCTGGGCATGGTGGCACGTGCCTGTAATCCCAGCCACTCCAGAGGCTGATGCAGGAGAATCACTGGAACCTGAGAGGCGGAGGTTGCACTGAGCTGAGATTGCGACATTGCACTCCAGCCTGGGCAATGGAGCCAGACTCCATCTAAAAAAAAAAAAAAAAGTAGAATTTAGGTTATTTCTGTGTTCATTGAATACTTAAGTAAAATTTAAATGAATGCGTGTTTTCTATCATGGAAATTATAGATACAACAATTTACCTAAAATAGGAAGTTATGCTTCAATAAATGCATGCATTAGTTAAGTGATGGTGAAAACTGGAGGTATTCCCTTTAATCTTACATTTTTTTTTTTTTGAAATGGAGTCTGGGCTCTGTCTCCCAGGATGGAGTGCAGTGGCACAATCTCGGCTCACTGCAACCTCTGCCTCTTGGGTTCAAGCAATTCTCATGCCTCAGCCTCCCAAGTAGCTGGGATTACAGGTGTGCACCACCACGCCCAGCTAATTTTTTTGTATTGTTAGTAGAGACAAGATTTCACCTTCTTGGCCAGGCTGGTCGCAAACTCCTGACCTCAAGTAATGCACCTGCCTCGGCCTCCCAAAGTGCTGAGATTACAGGCCTGAGCCACCATGCTCGGCCTTAATCTTATATTCTAAATATTTATACCAGCCAATTAAGAACACCCACTGACGTGATTAAAATGCTGGGGAATTATTTAGTGGTGATAATTGCATATCTTTGTAAATATGCCAGAAACCAGTGAATTGTACAGTATAACAGGGTGAATCTTAGGACATGTGAATTTTATCTAAATAAAAAAATCAAGGCTGGGCACGGTGGCTCACGCCTGTAATCCCAGTACATTGGGAGTTCAAGGCGGGCAGATCACGAGGTCAGGAGATCAAGACCATCCTGGCCAACATGGTGAAACCTTGTCTTTACTAAAAACACAAAAATTAGCTGGGTGTGGTGGCACCTGCCTGTAATCCAAGCTACTCGGGGGACTCTGATATGAGAATCACTTGAACTTGGGAGGTCAAGGTTGCAATGACCCAAGATTGTACCACTGAATTCGAGCCTGGCAACAGAGCGAGACTCCATGTCAAAAAAAAAAAAAAAAAAATCCAGGCCAGGCGCAGTGGCTCATGCCTGTAATCCCAGCAATTTGGGAGGCCAAAGCCAGAGGATCACTTGAGCCCAGGCGTTCCAGACAAACCTGGGCAACATAGAGAGACGCCATCTCTACAGAAAATATGAAATTAGCCTGGTGCAATGGCTTATGCCTGTAATCACAGCTACTAGAGAGACTGAGGTGGAAGGACCACTTGAGCCTAGGAGGTTGAGGCTGCAGTGAGTCGTGATTGAGCTACAAGCCTGGGCAACAGAGGAGACCCTGTCTCAAAAATAAAAATAAATAATAAAATTCATTGTCAATAGAATAACAATATGTTTCATCGTCAGAAACATTTATTGGAAGTAGAAACGTCACACAAAATAAAATGTTTATTAATAAAAATAATATCGTTAACAATTATTGGCAGCAGCCGATCAAGTTTTAACTTTAATTTTCACACAATCCAATAAGGTAGATTCCCACTGTTCAGGTGAGAAAACAGTCCTAGAAAGATTGAATAACATGCCCAAGATTCTATAACTAGTAAGTAGCAGAGCTGGGATTCATAGTCAAGTATGAGCATACTCTTTTTGTTTTTAAAGCTTTATTGAGATTGAATTTATGTACTATAAAATTCACCAATTGTAAGCTGGGCACAGTGACTCACATCTGTAAGGCCAGCACTTTGGAAGGCTGAGGCAGGTGTATCACCTGAGGTCAAGAGTTTGCGACCAGCTTGACCAACATGGTGAAACCCCATCTCTATTAAAAATAGAAAAATTAGCTGGGCATGGTGGTAGGCACCTGAAATCCCAGTTACTCGGGACTCAGGAGGTTAAAGCAGGAGAATCGCTTGAACCCAGGAGGCGGAGATTGCAGTGAGCTGAGATCGCGCCGTTGCACTCCAGCCTGGGCGACAGAGGGAGACTCCGTCTCAAAAAAGAAAAGAGAAGAAAAGAAAAGCTCATCCAAAGTTCGCCGTTTTTTTTTTTTTTTTTAAAGAAGCAGATCCAAGAAAACCCTGGTTACTGATAAATCAGTATTTTAAAATTTAAAGATTTTTTGAGACCCTCTTAACCCACTTTCGTCATGTTAAAAAGCAGTTGAATGATTTGTTTGTTTGTTTCTCCATGCATTTCTATACACATTTTATCACAAAGAGCTATTTTTCTTTTTGAGACAGAGTTTCGCTGTTGTTGCCCAGACTGGAGTGCAATGGCACGATCTCGGCTCACTGCAACCTCCGCCTCCTGGGTTCAAGCAATTCTTCTGCCTCAGCCTCCCGAGTAGCTGGGACTACAGGCGCGCACCACCATGCCCAGCTAATTTTTGTATTTTTAGTAGAGACGGGGTTTCATCTTGTTGACCAGGATGGTCTCGATCTCTTGACCTCGTGATCCACCCGCCTCGGCCTCCCAAAGTGCTGGGATTATAGGCGTGAGCCACCGCGCCCAGCCTATTTTTTTGTTTGCAGTAAGTTTATTTCCATGAAAACTTATTAGACAACTATTACGCAAAAGTATAGTAAGGAGAAGTGAAAGGATAATATGAAAGCCACAATGACGAATACTGAGAAGCCAAGCTCACTTTAGAATACTTTTAAGTAGTCATCAAGGTAGATTACTTAGAAAATAAATATTGTAAATGAAAAATGAGAGAAATTAGGGAAAGTGAGGGGCAATATGAAGTGAAGAAAGGAATTCATTGAGGTGATAATTTCTCTGCGACCTTTCTTCTTTTATTCAGGGCGCATGCGCAGGATGTGCAAGTTTCTTAACGTAGGTAAACTGTGTGCCATGGCGGTTTGCTGCACAGATCATCCCATCACCTAGGTATTAAGCCCAGCATCCATTAGCTCTTATTCCTGATGATCTCCCTCCTCCTACCCCCTGTCGTTCCCCTACATGTGTCCATGTGTTCTCACCATTCAGCTCCCACTTATAAGTGAGAATGTGCGGTATTTGGTT